GTCAGGGGCAACTATGAGCATGGGCGTATCTAGCTTGCGTTTGAAAGCTGTATTTATGGGTATGCATCTCTGTGTAGCTAGCGCTCAGGGCTTTCATGTCACCATACGGGTTGTATATATCTAGCATCAACACCTGTACATATGATCGTCATGCAACCCCAGTCCCAACCAGGGCAGCCATTTCGTTCCGCACCAGCCAAATCTCCCTCAACTCCCCCAGGAACGCCTCCGCCACGACAAACTCCCGCCCAACCTCCGTCAGCAACCCATCGACCAGCACCTGCTCCTCGACCGTCCAGGCTCGCGCGCCAGCCACGCGCAGCGGATACAGCAGCAACAGCGGCGACAGGCTTCTCTCTTTCAGCGCCTCACGCGCACACGCCACGATGGTCTCGCAGTGCGTCTTGACCGTCCGTACCGGCAGCGTCGGCACCGCCACGCCGAGGCCTCGCCACGCCGGCAGGTCGTAGTCGTAGTTGCCCGAGAGATAGATGCTCGTCGCCGCTACGAGAAGCCTGGTGAGGAGGGAGCAGGCCGGGGCCGCCTCGAGGGCGGCGCGCAGCGTTGCGCCCTCGTCTGCGAGGGTGAGTGCTGTGAGTGTGTTGGAGGGGGAGGGGGGGTCTGTCAGGTTCTCGATGAAGTCGGATGTTCTGAGACGTCAGTAACTCTGCCAGAAGCGAGGCAAAGAGAACAGGAGAGGCAGAGAGAGAGAGGCAGAGAGAGAGAGACAAAGAGAGACAGAGACAGAGAAGACAGGGAGAGAGAGAGAGAGAGAGAGAAAGAATGAAGAAGGCTTCAACAGGCCGCAACTCACCGAACACGCAGCCCCGAACAGCGCACAATGACATCCAGCACGGCATCCTCCTCCGTCTGCCCCCCAAAGACGGCCCGCCAGCTGTCCTCCCCCAGGAACGAGACCTCGTTGAAGATGACGGCGCGGCAGGCCTCGAACGCCCGCACCTGCAGGAAGAAACGCCCCACGGCGCTGCTGCTGCGGGCGGAGCACGCCGCGGGCCCCAGCGCCACGAGAGCCCGCGCCGTGCCGTGCACCATGTGCTGTACCCAGCCCGCACCCGAGGCGTCGGTCATGAGCTCGAAGAGGCCGAGGAGGAAGGTTGTCCAGAGGACGGTCGTACGCGTCGCGTCGGCGGCGGAAGCCGGGGTGGCGGCGCCGCTCGTCGGAACGGAGGCGGCTGGCGCGGAGGCAAGAGTGTGGCGCAGGGAGACGATGGCTGCGCCGTAGGCTTCGAGGGCGGGCCGCGGCCGGCGGAGCTGCAGGTTGGCCAGGGCGTGCAGGGCCGGGAGCAGGGGCGAGGACGGGCTGAGCAGGGGCGGCAGGTCGGCGAGGTAGGTCATCGGCTGGCCCGTGAAGCTGTTGCGCGTGATGAAGACTGTGAAGAGGGAGAGGGCGTGGGCTGTCGGGTCGGGCAGGGGTGGTGACGGGGAGGGGGTGAAGACGACGGGGGGCGTTGAGGAGGAGGATGACGAGGAGGAGGAGACGGCAAAGGTGATCTGCGTGAGGTGTTTGCCCTGGTCGAGGGTAATGGCCTTTCCTCGCTTGGCTGTCGTCTGGCTGGGGAAGACGCAGGTGAGCTTGCGCTTGAGGCAGCTGGTGCAGGGGTTCGACCCGGAGCACTGGGAGTGTCAGTCTTCGAACCATGTCTATCATGCCGGCAGAGGCATGCAGCAGTGTGTGGCTGAGGGTTCTGGGCATGGCATGATGATGCGTGTGGCATGCCTCTTTGTGTCTTCCAGAACCTCGACTCACATCCACTACCTAGTTACCTGACACACAAGCAAAAACATCACACGGCAAATGTGTTCAACATACCTTGGAGTGCGACTTGACGCATTGCGTACACCGCGAACGGCGAGTCCGCAAATCGAAAGGCCCGGCTAGCATCGCGAGAATGGTTCCTGAAAGGGAAAAAGCATCGCGTCAAGGCTTGTTAATGGATACAAATCTGCAGAGCTCCGTGTATCGGCATCCGCCTGTCATCCTGTCACCTGATGACATGACACCCTTGCCAAGTGAAGTCGGACTTTGACCTTACGAACTGAGGCCCAAGACGAAGGCCGGACGGCAAACTGCGGGTCAGCGCGAAACCCGATTCGGAAGCATTTGAGCGGCGCTAGAGCTGATCCAATGAGATATGGCTTGCAGGGCTGCCGGTATTCGAAATTCTCCGCTCATCTTACCCCTGACTCGGACACCCGCGCCGAGCCTCGACGCTCACTCCACCAGACCTCGCCCGAAATGGCATCAACGTTGCGGCCAACATTGGACATCATCGTGAGGAAGGGAATCAGGCACCAGAGAAGCAGAGTATAAGATGATGGGTGTCGCGCCCACTGGGGTTGGTTTCAGCCTCATCCAAACACCAGAATCACAACTATCCTATCATTCAAGGCTTCACTTCAATATTTCATCTCCCTCTGGACAATTCCAAACTTCGCTTTCTTTCACCTGTCTTACACCATGAAGTCGATTATCAACCTTGTGGCTCTCGCCTCTACGGCCCAGGCTATCCTCGTTGCCCCTCCTACCGGCCCCTTCGCCGTCTCCATGTCCGTGACGCCGCTCACCGACAAGAGCCGCCTCGACCCGTACGCTCCGGCTAATGCTACGCATGCTCGCCGTATCCTGATATCGACATTTCTCCCTGTCAATGAAACTCAGACACCCTGTCGCAATAACAAGATCGTTCCCTACATGACTCCCCTCGTCGCCGAGGCGTACGATCAGCTCGGTGTCGCAGTCGGCCTGCCCAACGGCACTTTTTCCTCCTTCGAGCTGGACTTCTGCGTCGCCAGAACCTCGCCCTGCCGCCCCCCTTCTGCCACTTATCCCTTGTGATCTTCTCACCCGGCTGGGGCAACCCCCGCCTCCTCTATGGCGCCATGGCCCGAGAGCTCGCCAGCCACGGCTTCGCTGTCGTCACCATAGACCACCCCTACGACGCCAACTATGTTGAGTTCCCCGACGGCGAGGTCTACCCCGCCGCGAACATAGACACCGATGACATGGTCGCCATCGGCAAGCTCACCCAGGTCCGCGCCCAGGACGCATCCTTCCTCCTAACCCACCTCCTGAATACCCCGACCCCAGGCATCAACACCTCCGCCCCGCTGATCATGGGCCACTCCCTCGGCGGCGCCACCGCCGCCTCCGCCATGCTCACAGACTCACGCTTCGTGGCCGGCATGAACATTGACGGCCTCCTCCCGGAACCCGTTCTCAGCGCCGGCGTCTCCGGCCCATTCGCCCTCGTCGGCCGCCCCGGTCATGAGGAGGAAGACGCGACGTGGGACACCTTCTACGCCGCGCTACGGGGGCCCAAGGCCCAGCTCGCCGTCAACGGCACCGTGCACGCCTCATTCACGGACTTTCCGACCCTCGTCAAGACGCTGGACCTCGAGCTGCCCGAAGACGCCGCTGCGCTGCTGCAGTCTCAAGATCGGAACCTTGGCGTTTGGTCGTGCGAGCGAGATCGTGGCTGGTATCGTTGGTGACTTTGCTGATCTCGTCTTGAGGGGGGGCGATGGTGGTGTTTTCGGCCAGGGAGACGCGGCTTTGCCTGAGGTCACGGTGGACAGAGCTGATATTTGAGCTGGCCACGGAGGGCCGCATGGCGTTTCCCGACGCTATTTGATGTGATCAGGTGAGGCTATATTCCTGCAGCCATACCGCTCCGTCGGTCAATGTAGAGTTCCTTTGTACATACATTCCACACCCAGTGGATTTTAATATACTTTTCAAGTGCCATTATGCATGCCCTGTCCCTGGAAAAGTTTTCGAAGAGGTCATGCGGCTCATGGGAACATTATTTCTTGATCACCAGGTCTTGCGGTAGTTCTAGCACCTGGTACAGAAAAAATAGTAAACACATCCCGCTAGAATATTGCGACAGTGGAAGACAAAGCACATGATGACAGCAACAGACTCCAGCAATTGCTGGCTCATATGCCGTGCCGCAATTCTCATGCAGACAGTGAAGCGGAGTCGCGGACACGAGAACAGCGCCAGCTTTGTTGCATAGATTTCCAAAGCCATAAGGGAGGCAAGAGTTGCTAGCTATAGTCTTGGTTTGGAGGGGTCTCCAGTGACGATGTAGAAGTCAGAGGTCGCTTGGAATTGAAGTCTGCCTAATACAGAGTACAAAGCGGTCGCGCAAACAATATCTGAAAGCTAGAAAGTATAGACAGATATAGCTATCTAGGTCTCTGACACCTTTTTTACAGACTGCTGCGAGTGTGGGTCAATAAATCAATACTTTCCTCCACTGAGTTACTGAACAAGAGCATTTATCAAAAAGTGACAGCATAACAAAATGATAAGTGTTCGGGATCTACCGCGGGCTGATCACTCCTGAGGTTACCTCTGGTCCTGACCCCCTCCTCGCCGTCTTATCCTAGAACCTTGTCTGAAAGGGTCCAGCAAGGTGGGAAAGCCTGGGCCTGTCCTACCAAAAATACTTGTATCGCGCGTGTCGATGTTAAAGCCGCGGTGTTTGCCGTCGTCCCTGCGACTGGGCAGCGAATATCCGTCTTGTGTCAACATAAGTTACCCTTGGGCTGCCAATTTTCCAATCAGCTCTGTATCTCTTCAGCGAGGTGGTCTGTGAGCATGATTCACCAACCACGCTCTACATCCTGGACCAAAGTGATGGCAAGCAGTACGTCTCAGAGTGCCCCTAGTTCCAATGGCTCTGGTTCAACCTCAGAAACTACTGTCGCAACCTATCGAGTCAGGAATCTTTCTGTCTTTCACATCGTGAATGCGTACTCTTACATCGATCCAAAGACTAGCCATGTCACTGTTCACATCGACATTGTCAGCTAACAGGACGAACACCGTCCACACATGGAGCACAGCCAGCGTCTTGAACTTCCTCGGCCCTAAAAAGCCACTGCAAAACGGGATCACAGTTCGCAATCAAATGGACTCTGTGAACAAGGCGGATCCAGTCAGGATGTATCGTGGTTCAATTGCGCCTGCTATTGTGGGGTTGCCCTGCGAGCTTCCGCAAGTTTCGAAGCCTGCATCCATGGATCCTAGGACCAGTATACGTATACCTGTTCTGGTACCGGGGCCTCCTCTCCGGGCACAGAAGTTCCCATCAGTCGTCGGGAAATGGTTTGGTTGGACTCGACGATAAGAAATTTGAGGAGGTCGCAAAAGCGGATATGCCTCGACTTCATGCGCTTGATCCGCATGGTTCGTTTGTGGAGGGAGATTTGGCCTCTGGATTTGATCTTTGCGGCTCGCGACCTGTGAAGGGGTTAGGAAGGAGCGGGTTCAACAGTCCGCATTTGTGGAAAGGGGGATAAATTGCAGGAAATTTTACTCATGAGTGCGAGTTTTCGTGCCCTTGCATTGTCATTCAACCCTCAAAATGATCTCTCAAAATGCACTTTGAATCAGACCCTGGTCCTAGTGTAAACCTAGTCGTTTCCATTCATATCAACACGCGTCCGCCGAAAACGCCAGAAAAGTATTTGAGACTGTCACGGAATGAGATAGAGCGGAATCCAGAATGAAGCACCTTGAATAGGTAGTATGTGATTGCCAGCATATTTCACCATCATCTTTCCAGAATACATTCATCATTCAGCGCGTGAGCCTCGTGGTTCACAAGGCAAAGCTGCCGAAGTAAGGACCATCAGTATACACAGCGGCACAGATATAAAGTGATACAGGAGTGATGGTGGCTGCAATCTGCCCAATGACTACTGATAAGAGGTTCACAATACAGTTATGCCCTACTGCAATGTCATTGTTGTGCCCAGTCAAGGCCTTCATTCCACTGACAATTGCCGTGCGGGATATGGACTGGCATCCGGTTGACGATGAAAAAGTCACGACGGTGGGCTGGGCGAGCTACTATTGGGATTGCAAGCTCATGCCAGACCCCAAGGCATTCCACGAGATGCGAGAGAGACGTCTCAAGGTGACCATTAGTGATCACCCCGCTGGCAGCCTACACGCTTTCGAAGACCAACATGATGAAATGGTGGCTGCAATGGGATATCAAAACAAGCACAGGCTGCCAATTCAATTTGATCTGGTGGATAAAGCCTATATATAGGCACACTTTGAGATGCTTCACCTAAAAATCAAGAACGAAGCTTGGGACTTCTGGTGGATCGACTGGCAGCAGGTCGAGCACCCAACGACCCCGAGCATCGATCCATGTGGCTCCTGAACCATTACCTCGACAACGCCCTCGCCCAGTGCCCGTTAATCTTCGCGCGGTACGCCAGGCCCGGAAACCATCGGTACGCCGTCGATCTCTCGGGCGACACGGTCTTGTCGTGAAAGTTTCTCGACTTTCAGCCAGAATTCACGACCGCCACTTCCAACATTGGCTACGGCTGGTGGAGCTTTGACATTGGTGGACACATGTTTGGCGGTCGCGACGTCAACTGTGAAAGACAAGGCTTGAACTTTCCAGTTTATCCGGCTCAGTCACAGTCAGTACGCACAAGGTGGACCGGGCGATCGTCGACTGTCGGAAGGTACCTGGCGTGGCGGACTGGAGGTCTTCGTGCCTGCAACCTTTGAACAGCAGAAAGAAGGAGTCACGTTCGAGACCCTTTGATTACCCGTCTCAAGATTTGCAGCTGGTGTGATTTGATGTCGAGCCACGCATAGAACAGCCCCTTCTCGACTACCAGATTGAGTTTGCAGTGACGGACTCCATCAGGACCATCATCACAGCCAAGGACCAAGCCTTGCAACTCATGTCGGAGGATTCATCAGACTGGAGCTGGAACATGCGCTGGTGGGTCAGGTTCTTGAACTTTTGTTACTGGGCTCTAAAATTTCAAATAGGGTCAAAGGTGGTAGCATTTTGACAATGCTACGTAGTTCGCGGCAAATAATGAATGAATTACCCCGCCAAACCTTCGATAGATCCTGCAATAGCTCTCTCAGGCATGTACATGAATGTGATTTACAGGCGATGCCCGCTTGCTCGTACTTGAATGAGCCGTCTCTCAAGGTGTCGAGATGAAGCTGGGAGGTTTAGGAATATCAGTCACGGTTTACACTCAGAACGACATGTTTTGGCCCTTCCATCAAAGGTTTCATCAATGCGTTGGACTGGACTCATTTTGTCCTCGTCTTGGTCTCATAATTGTAACCATATGAGTCACAGATAGACATGCCGCAAAGGTAACGACAAACCTCGCAGGATCGACTGGGATCGATTGAGACAAGCTTTACAGCTTCTCGCAAACACGTACGCATAAAAGCATTTCTGCCTCAGCCCACCCTTCGATGGCGTCGATCTACACAGAGGAATAGACATACCCAGAGTGGCTGATAGACCAGCAGGGCAAAGTCCAAGAGACAGAAAACATACTTCGCGGTCTGCTTTCGTGGTCGTTTTCATGCCAAGACATGACATGTGCCTCGATCGTGGCGAACCCTACGCACCTCAAAGGCTGGCCCAAGTTGTCTGGAGAAGCGGTACGACGTTCCGTGGTGGCGTCGTGACCCGAATGGAACTGAAAGAACGCGTTGGATACCGAACTAGTCCGAATGGCTAGCGTTCGAAATATTTCACAGGCTATGCGTCATCTACATTTCTGTCGCCTCGATAGCATCGGCGCGGGGAAGCACCGTGCCAGGAATGCAGCGATAACTGACGATGTATCTGCCATCAAGCATGACCTCAGTGGGTATGTTCTGACACTCCTAAACGCCAACGTGCCTGCCGCAGGAAGCCAGGGCGGATGTGCACACGACGACTCAGGACTTGTACGACGACCAAAGACGAATCCAGTTGCCTACGAACAGACCTACCTGTAGTTTATGATCGCACAGTGCCGAGACGACCTGACCAAGGCCATTTCGTCGCGTGTTTTCCGACCTTGGCGAACTTCAGGGTTCTCGCCCAAGGGTCGAAGACAACTGGAAACGGGGTCCCCGTCCATTCTCTTCATACGGTGAGACCTGCCTATTGGGTTCGCGCGGAATGATGACAAGTTCCCGACAAAGCGAGGTATGCTAGTACTTTGTGACTCTGGAATGAGAGTAGCACGCAAAGAACTTGTCAGAACGTTGAAGAAGCGACACCTGCTGAAAGGAGCATGCCGTCGGGGACCCATCTATGGCCACGATCCAGTCACGCTGTTCAGCTCTATCACTCTCGACGACTGTACAACAGCGGTTGCCAGCGTGACTGGCTGGAAAGCCAGTCGACGTGGCGACGACTTGACCAACGATGAAAGCCAAGGGACAACGCAACGCGACACAGCGTCTGCATACCCAGGGAGGGACCAGGCGGTGTGTCCCGAGTCGAGGGTTCATCATGACAACAGCGAAGGGCGGCAGAGCGAGAGCGCCACAGACCACAAAGTCGAGACAGGCCCGCTAATGCTTTGTCTGACGCCCTTGTCGGAACGTTTTGCGGCGTTTGTACACGCTGCGACGTTGGTGGTCACTGACGTATAGACCTGCTGGGGATGAGCCAAGGGCGCACGCAATACCTGTGATTCAGTGATCCAGTGGTGGCTCGGCTTTTAGGCCTGGCCACGATTCAGGTGAAGCAGCCGACAGCCAATGAACTGGCGGGCGATCGACCAGGGGTAGTGGTGCTGTCGGCGCATTGTGCGGTGTGGGCCAAGGCAGAGTGACGGCAATTCTCGAGACCAAGGAGAGACAAACAGAACGGCGAGGGAGGGCTTGGGCGCGCAGACGCTGGTGTCACGATGGTGCTACGTCGGGACCCAAGGGTGACCATGGCCGCAACGCGTCTTGTCTCGTCGTCGCCCCGTGGACGGGGTGGAAGAAAGTCTCAGTCTGGAATATTCTGCAGCCCCCTCCGTTTAAACAATTACGCGGGAAAAGGGGGGGGGGGGCGGGGAGGTGCCTTGGGTGCCCAGGAGACAAACTTTGCGACGACGGAGGGACGACAGCGGCACAAAGACGTTTCGCGGTCGGGTCCAGCCGACCATGAGTCGAGCCAAGGTCGAGACGCTTCGATTGAGGGCCAAGAGTCGCCGCAAGTATCGCCACTTGCGAGACAGAAAAAAAAAATCTTCAATCGGTCTGCAAACAGAGTTGGCAGATCAGAGATTTCCCGACGGTGGTGGTGACTACTGCAGCCTGTCGATTGCCGATTGGAAGTCTGACTTGTCAACCCTTTGTCACTTCGGGATGTTGTGGGTAGGTGTGGGCATGTGGGCACGCGGGCGAGCTGGGAAAGCAGAGTCTGCACAGCAATAGAGAGGGCGAGGCCCCTCCCCCTCCTCCGCAAAAGGATGATCTTCGCCGGACAACGAGGCTAGGGGGGAGGGGCAGGAGCGATGGAAAGCCGGGAAGGAACGGATACCACTGTACCTTCCTTCCCTAGGTACCTTACCTTACCTCCCCCGTTACCTTCCCTGACGTGTGATGCGCGGTTGTCAGAAGGTGTACCGTGTACAGCAGAAAGTGCGGGAGATCTTGATCAGAAATTTGCTGCACAGACCCACAGGTGACCACTCACGGGTCACTTCAGGCCTAGCGCCAGGAACCAGGCACAACCAGGTACAGGGCGGTACCTGGAGGCCAATGAGGGACAGCAGGTTCAACGTCGGAAATTGTGCAGAGCGCCCTTTGAGGGGGGGTGGGCTTCGTTGGCTGGTGGGCTTCGTGCACTCGTGGGCTCGTGGGTGCGCATGAGGCGCCTTCACAAGATGAGCTGCCCAATTCTGTGAATGGCGTCAATTTGGGATAAAAAGCGTCTAATGAGCGTGCTCACGAGGGCTTTCATTCATCTCCGAGCAGACATGCCATCTGAATCTAGGTCCGTTGGTACTTGTAACTAGGCAGGTTCGGCGACCAGGAGAAATAGAAAATGACTCGCTTCTAGTGACGTCGGGCGCAATACAGCCGTCAGGTCGAGACATGCGATCAATTGAGCGAAATGGTTTCCGCCCTTTGTTCGCCAGCGCTCACTGCGACTCACCGGCGCACAATGTACAATGGAGGTACAGCGCCCGACGACGTGTGTGCTAGCGAGCACCCACCCATGACAGCATGACGGCCGGTACATGGCCTGCAAACCGCGAAACGCAGGACAAACGCTGGGACTGAGGTGCCTTCTCATTTCCCCCGCCTCTGCGACATTGATGTACACTTACTTTCCTTTGACAGGGACTCTGGGCGAGACAGCAAGTATCGAGACATCCAAGGTCTGGGCTCGAGGACGGACAGGGGGGGGATGCGGTCGGGTACCTTGCAGGCACTTGCAGCATTTGGCAGGGGTTCCACACCCACCACTCGGCCCTGCTTGTTGGTTTCTGTCGCACCGAGGCCCTGGCACAACGTCTCGCGTGCCTTCCCTGCTTGCCCACCTTGCCCACCACACACTGCTCCTGCTCCTGCTCCTGCTCCTGCTCCTGCTCCTGCTCCTGCTCCTGCTCCTGCTGGGGTACCTGCTGGGCGGTTTCCAGTCCAGTCCCAGATACCCGTCGCGCCTAACTAACGTCTGCGTGTGGGTTCGCCTAGACTGGTTGCTGTGGTGGTAGTGTCTTTCGCCCCCCCTTCCTCCGATCCAAGATGCCGTGAAGAAAGTCATTTCCCAACCCACCTCGCCCACCCACACCATCCACTCACTACACCTTCCTTTGACTCCCGCCCACCCACACCTCCCTCGTCCAGTCCTTCTCTTCCCGCGTCTGAAGCCACTTTAACCCGCGCCTCGCCTCCATTTCCCTCATAGACCCGCGCTTGCGCTGCTCCTTTCACTGCTCAACTCTCGCGACCCTCACCTCACCTCAAACCTCCGTCTACTTCAACAACACACAGACTTCGTTGGCAAAGTCTCAGCCGCGGTTCACGCTCGAGCGCATCAGGACCCTCGCGAAACAACCTCACTTATACACAAACAGCCCACTTTGCCGTTTCGGCCCCCTTCAGCCTCTCCACATCGTCGACTCGATATCTGGACACTGCGCCCACCCGGAGCATATACACGTCGCCAGGGCCACACTATCTTTGAGAGATTTGGAAACAGCATCCCCAGACTGGACTATCTGAAAGCACAAGACTTTCACGCCCTCCTTTGGACATATCTTGACGATCACCCTCCTCTTTCTTTGGGGCTCATCAGACATACCCTGTATCTACGACGACTACGACGCCGCTTTGATAGCGCCTACAACTACCAAACGTCCCATCATCCACCATCAACATGAAGGCCACCACGCTCTTCAGCGCCATCTTCCTTCCCGCCCTGGCCATGGCCCAGGGTGAGGACGACAAGGACGATAAGTACGACACTTCGACCACGACGGCCACCGTCACCCTGACCCAGACCATCATGCTCGCCAAGGTCGTCGAGACGGCCACCTGGACTGCCACGCGCAACGCGACCATCACGTCTGAGATCCCCAGCGCCACCAGCGACATCGTCTCCGTCTCCACGACGTCGTCTGCGCCCGCCCAGGTCACCTCTTCCAACGAGAACGCTGGCCAGGCCCTCAGCGTCTTCCACATAGTCATGGCCGGTATCGCCGGTCTCGCTGCCCTCTTCCCTCATGTACATACCTGCCACGGCAT